TCACAACACTCAGTTGTTGTTTTTTGAGTTCAAAAATGATTTTTTTAACATATTTAATTTTTTCTAATTTATTTTGCTTCATACACATCTTTCTGTTAATAATTTTTAATTGTGTGAAAAATTAATTACACCAAATTAAAAGTAGCTATCACATTTAATATTACCTACATCAAGTACTAAAAATAATTCAGGAAAGCCAGTTTTATAAGTAATATAAAACAGTATTTTCAACAGCTGATATAAAGATAAATATAGTTTTATGTAGATGGTTCTTTATTAGGTTGTTAAACGCTTATATATATATATATATATATATATATATATATATATATATATATATATATATATATATATATATATATATATATATATATATATATATATATATATATATATATATATATATATATATTAGGGTAGGTCACTTTTGAAAAATTTTTGAATTTAGGTTCGGCTGGGCATTTTTCTTATGTCTTTGACCGTATGATAATGAGAAACAATTTTCTTTTTATTTGCATTTAATGTTTAGTCAGGTAATTTTTAGATTGAAAATTTAAGTTTTATCATAAATATATCGTTTATGCGAAGTTATGAAAAATGGTTTGCTACTACTCAATAAAATAAAGTCTAAAAAGATTCCTGAGCCTTAGTTAACCTAGTTACATCAACAATATATTAAAGTTACATCAAAAATTAAAATTTTATGGAATATTAAGTCTATACACGTAATAAGACATTAAAATATTGATAACAGCATTTTCCGCATATTTTTCTAAAATAAATTGTTTACTCATAATAAAAAGTTAAAATACTGATTACAAAATTTTCATCAGATCTTTTTTTAATTGGCACACAGGCATCAGCTCTCTATGAGCCATTGTAGCCCTTATGAACCCATCTCTTCTCTCGGCACCAAACACCGACATTGAAACCCTGGTGACCTCTTTCACAATGCATTCAATAGATTGACAGTGAATAGGGAAGTTTGGTACAACCATTGGATTATTAATAAACTGTATAATATCATCTCTAATCAAACAACAAGTAAGAACCGGTTCACTGATCTCCTCTGTTTCCCAATTGATTAAATCTATTAGATTATTTGATTCAGTGTTTATCACTGGTATTCTTCTAGTCCTGCATTTTCTGTCTCCAGCATCCTTATTTTTTCTAAAATCAATTATTTTTTGCACTGCAAATCTCCTTTCTCCTTCATCAGAAGTACAGAGTATTGTCTGAAGAATACATTCACTGTGTGCATTCCAGGCAGAGGAGCAGACATGCGGTAATACAATATCCTTCACAAACTTGTTCTGTTTTTTTACCAAGGCTAGTTGCTTAAGGATATGATGTGGGCCTTGAATCCAGCTATGTTTAGTCTAAAGTCAATTACTTTTCTTTAGCATAATCACAATTGTTTTACAATTATTAAAGTAAATTATAGTATTTAAGTAAAAAATTGTATTATATCTTTATTTACATAACTAAGTTTCTTACCTTAAGATCAAACCACATAATCAAATAAACACCCATGATGAACTCTGTTAACAATTTTAAGTTTTGTAGATCTTTGTTTTTTAAACAATGCTCTGAGCACCAGATTCGAAGTAGTCTATTTACGAGATTTAACCACCTTGAATGATTGTGTGGACCAATTTGAATCTCCTTCAAGTCATCAGGAAAAACACCTGATGCTATTGCGTTATGTATTCTGTATAAATACTTCTGATCTGTAGAAATAGTTTTTTATTTAATTTTTTATTTGTTTAAGAAAGATAAAAATAAGACTGTTACATATTCAGTAGTTGTTTAAGATATTAGTGTCGAGGATTAAAAGATTTTTGTTAAATTTTGTTCTAACAGCGACCATGAAAACATTTTCTTGTTTTTCATGAATTCTTATTTGCAACAAAACAGCAACATAGTTCTGGGCTAAATATGATAAATATGAAATAATATAAAATGAAAAAATTGCCTGATAATTTTTAATATTCACAGGAAATGTGTTAATTTAAGTTTATAAAAGTTAAAATTTTCTGTTAAAAAGTTAATTTGCTTAAAGAATTTGCATAATTATACATAAACCATGTATTCAGTAAAGTGAATCTACAACTTCTTTCTCGAGATGAAATAGATCTACAACAAAATCAAGCTGAGGGATGCATGTCAAGATAGGAAGATTTGTTGCTATGTTAATAAGTTTTCTGATGTTTCCTGAGAATCTATTTTCAGATAAAGTTTTTCCATCTAAAGCTAACATTAAATGCCTAAGTGGCAATTTGTTGGTATGTAGCGCACAAATAATCCAGATAAGTTTGAATCCTAGTTTTTTTCTCTAAAAATTGAATAATTCCACCCTTCCAATTTAAAATAAATTTTTATTTTCAGTAAATAAAAAAAAAAAAAGAACATAAAATTTTTAACAACCATTTAAAGAATTAAAAATAAAACCTGTGTTAAGGTTGGTTGAATCTCCTCCAATTGCAATTAATTGGTTTTCAATGCCATGTGCTATTATCCAATCATATAATTGTTCAGCAATATGTTCAGCAGGTGTTCGAGCTTCTCTCTCCTCTGAATTATTTACAAAGTGGAATAAATATTTTCCACCAGGTTCAGAACAGACACTATAATGATCTTCTTTGATCTCCCTAGGATAAGATTTACCATTATTGCCATATACAACTGTTTTAGTAAGGTCTTTTCTACCATCAAACATAATACATTGTATGCCCTCTTTCTTAACTTCATTATTATGTCTCTCTTTACAGACATTCATTACTCTTTGCTTTGATCTCTCAATTTTTTTATGATCTAGAGCTAGGTGTTTATCAAGTATATGATCTTTCAAAAAACCTGCATCTTTGGCTGCTTTTAATGTTGCAGCGCCTATTGATGCAGTTGCTCTGTTACTTGTACCAAATCGTAATGCTGACAAAGCGATATGATTTACATTTAAGGTATTTAGTTGAGAAACTTTTTTTATTTTTGGTAAATAAAGATTGTCATTATAATCATTCTCAGCATTGTCTGACTCCACATCATTTTGAGATAATACTTCAGAATACTGTACAGTCTCAATCCTATCTCTCTTTGATTTGTTCTGCTTTCTTTGATGGTATTTTTTTGTCTGGATACTTCTTTTTTATCAACTGAACCTATTTGCATTCCACTTTTAGAACCAACTTTATCCCTCTGTGACTTTAAAAATTTAAGTTCAATAATAGGAATTTTATTTTCCTGAGAACATTTGCAAACAATATGAAAAACTTGGTTGCAGCTATAACAATCGGATTTTTCGCATGATTTTATTGAACATTTACACTTAGCTATGTCAAACAGTTTATCTAAGATTAATTTATGATCAGAAAGTTGCTTAGATGTTCCCCTACCTAACGCCAGATTATATACTTTTTTCCAGTCATATATGATTCTTTCTTTTCCTCTTTTATCAGAGATAATTGATATAAGTGGATTAGCTTTTTGCTATAAATATTTTACTGAGGTCCACAATTTTTCAGAAGTTAGCCTTAAATTTTGGTTATTTTCTAAGAAAGAGACCATATCTTAAAACATCTCTTAAAGTTGGTAGTTCTGACTCTAATAATGTTTTTCCTGTACCAATTAGCTTTGTTAATTTACATTTAACTTTATCACGAGTGTTTTGAGCCATTCTTTATAACTGTAAACTTATTTCTATACAATTCTTGCGGCGAAAAAACCACGTGATCATTGCGTAATGAAAAACAAAAATATCTACCATTTTGATATGGGGGCAAACAAACGCGCTGATTTCAGTACATTACTTAAACGCCTTGAAAATGTCTTATGATTATCAAGAAAAGTTATCTAAATAAGCTGCTGAACGTTACCAGAACAAAATTTAGCGTTATATTGAAATAAATCTGTGCAAATGCTTTAAGGAATCATGGAATTCAATTAATTCATCATTTTGAAATTATTGCCAGTTTACAGATGTAGTCAATAAAGAAAACAAAAATATTACATATTGATATTCTAATAACATTTAAAAATTCTATATTTTGCTTAAAATTTTCCTCAGTGTAATATTTATTCCTCATGTTTTTAATATATGTGAAATAAATGTTATAAATAAAAAATATTTTTTACAGTATTCTTGCGGCGAACGTGACGTCACTTTAACTAACTAAACGGCTACCATTATGGTATGGGGGCAAACAAAGCGCTTGAAAATGGAGAAATGTATTTTTGATTGTTCAATTAATGTTAATAGTCATCCGAACTTGATTTTTTATATTTTGCTTCCTGATCCAAAGAGAAGAAAATCGGGGCTTTATGCTTTATATAGAACTGATTCATCTTGCAAAAACAAACTTTGGTCCCAAAACATGTCTAAGTATGCTCAAAACATTTTGTATCTGGCAAGTTTTGTATTTGAATCGTCAAAATATTTGAGCACAAATTTTTCTTGAACTTATTAAGTTTTTTTCGTCTATATATTTTTATTCATTGTAAGTATGTTTCTCTTTTAGGAAAAAAAAGAACATAGTCTAGATGCTTTTCAAAATTTTGAAAAGCATGTTGACTATGTTCATTCAGTAAATATGTTAGATGCTAAAAATATGTATAGTGAAATCATCCCTCCAACATAACCAATTGTTATGTGAAATGAAAGGAGAATAAATAGATTAAACAATTCAATTAGTATATACTATATAGTATTGGTATGTACTGCATAAACAACAAGATAAATTATATAATATAGTTTTTCTTGTTGTTTAAAATGTTTTTGTAAAAACTGTTTATGTAATAGTTACAATTTATTTTTGTTATGCATTGATGCATAACAAAAATAAATTGTATATAAAAATATTAATGCATTAAAACAAGCATTTATAAATCATGTGTTTATTGTTTTTATTTTTAAATAAATTAATGTTCAATAGCTTGTTAAGCACAAATTTTGTATTTACTATATACCTCAAACATGCTTATATTTTTTTAGAATATTGTGTACAAAAAAGTCATTGCAATTAATCTCAAGTTATTCAAGTCAGTGAACAAATAAGTACTGACAATTCGTTGACTGGAGTGGAAGATGTTAGTGTCTTGAACCAACATGAAACAAAAAGTTAACTTAGCTGAGAATGATGGTAGTTTAAAAATAATGCAGCATTGGCTAGGTAAGTGATTATGTGTATGTTGGCTCACTCATAAGTCAATATATATGTGTTTATGTTCTGTGTCGACCTCTGGTGTCGTGTTGGCTCACCCTTTAGACATTATATGTGTGTTTGTGTTCTGTTTCAACCTCTAGTGCGGTGTTGATTCACTTGTAAGTCATTATGTGTATAATTTTATTTTGTTTTATTGTGTTATTATAGTGATGTTATTGTTGTGATGCTTTGTGTTGATAGACGACTTTGCTTACCTTCTTGTTGGTGCCTCTTGCTACAAATTATTATTAGATTTTTTTACTTAAACATGTTTTAAAGTAAAACATACTTTTAATGTTGTCATTTTTAATCTTTAGGATTGTTCCTAGGTCACAAAAACAATCTTACAAAGTAAGTTTCTTCTTTACTATTTATTTAGTTATATTTTTAATTAAATTTTTATTTTTCATGTTAACATGATACATAAATCATTAATTTGTAAATGCTTTCAGCATAAATTGGTTCTATTTTCTTTAGTAGAGTTTCTGCTGTTGTCACTGGTTTTAGAGAGTACCTTCGCGAATGAAGATAAAAAGTCATTTATGTTATTTTTTAAAAGCCAAGACATAATGTTGTTAACACTCATACTATTTACTAAAAAACTTTATAAATATTGTTACGATGTTATAATTCAAGTTGTTGTAATTAGTAATTTTGATCATTTCATTATTATACTGTAAAAAATATTTTTTATTTATAACATTTATTTCACATATATTAAAAACATGAGGAATAAATATTACACTGAGGAAAATTTTAAGCAAAATATAGAATTTTTAAATGTTATTAGAATATCAATATGTAATATTTTTGTTTTATTTATTGATTACATCTGTAAACTGGCAATAATTTCAAAATGATGAATTAATTGAATTCCATGATTCCTTTAAGCATTTGTACAGATTTATTTCAATATAACGCTAAATTTTGTTCTGGTATCGTTCAGCAGCTTTTTTAGATAACTTTTCTTGATAATCATAAGACATTTTCGAGGCGTTTAAGTAATGATGTTCTGAAATCAGCGCGTTTGTTTGCCCCCATATCATAATGGTAGATATTTTTGTTTTTAATTACGCAATGATCACGTGGTTTTTTCGCCGCAAGAATAAATACATGCGTTATTATTTCTTCCTTTTAATAACTAATAAAACTGCTACTAGTGGTCCGACTTTAGCGAACATAAACAAAATTTTCAGAAATACGTCATCAATACATTTTAAAAAGTTAACTGTTACCCATTTCTATGGTAAAATACCCCCCTTAGTTGCAATATTTTAGGATCATATTTTGACATTTTTATTGATAAAATAGGTGTAGTTTAAGACATTTATTGATTTAAAATGGTTTGAAGATGGCAAAAGTAAAAAAAATGACAAAACTCTGGGGAAATTATATATTTATGATAAAACTAAAATTTTCAAGCTGAAATTTACCTGACTAAATATTAAATGCAAATAAAAAGAGAATTGGTTCTCATTATCATACAGTCAAAGACATAAGAAAAATGCCCAGCCGAACCTAAATTCAAAAATATTTCAAAAGTGACCCACCCTAATATATATATATATATATATATATATATATATATATATATATATATATATATATATATATATATATATATATATATATATATATATATATATATATATATATATATATATATATATATATATATATATATATATATATATATATATATATATATATATATATATATATATATATATATATATATATATATATATATATATATATATATATATATATATATATATATATATATATATATATATATAAACAATTTTAAAAATGTATTCTACAAAATAGAGTGCTCAATGTTCTTAAAAGAACAGAGCAATTATAAATTAATAGAAAATCACTTAACAAAACTTTTTTTTTCATTTTACACTGTGTTTCATCAAAAAAGACTCATCAGAAAATCTTTTGTTGGATCTTGAGTCTTGAGTCATGAGTCTTTGTTGAAAAGTCTTTCTATGCAAACATTACTTAAGCATATTGGTTATTAATCCTAAAAAAGACAGTAGTATAGGTTTACTCTATAAAAGAAACTGGCAAATTCATCTTTTTCCTTATTAATTTTATATTTTATTACGTAATTGGCTCATTATACGTTTATGGTAAAGACCAATACATGCAAGTTTTATTGAATCCAAGCCATAAGGTTTGTTTATAACAGCTGTACTAAATAAGATAGTGTCTTCATTACCAAGACATTTTTTAATAACAAGAGTCACAATTTTTTATTGAAAACATGGTATTTTTGTTGCTGAAACAGAATTTTTGGCGTTAGCAGGTTAAGTGTGATTTTCTTGGCGTATATGGCTAACTTTCCACTTCTTATATTTAAGTGTCTTATTTTTTCCCTCAAATTTGAAAATCATTACAAAACTTAAATAATTTAATAGCATCCAATATTCCTGAGAAGTTGCTACTGGTTTCACCATTTATAAAAGAAAATCTTTTCTTCTCTCTGATAAAAGTTAGCATTGCTTCTTATCATCTGCCCTCTCTCTGAACTAGCGTTCATCACCTCACATTATTGATTTCTAGTCTAGCTACAGTTCTGCCTTTTGGTCCTAATATCATTTTTGGTAGAGACTAATTTATTTCTCTTTAAAAACCATAGACTCTATTTTTCATGTTGCAAGTTTTGAAAAAATTTTAGTTTTTAATGTTTATTTTTCGGATTATACATTACAATCTCTATATCTGTCAATACCACTTTTCTTATTACATGTGCATAAAATAGACTTTATCCTAAGTTGTATAAAAGAATTGTTATAGTTATGTAAATATTTCTTGGTAAAGTAGAGCAAATTCCGTAAAAATTAAATAGTAACACTCAGTTTATTTTAAAAATAACTCAGGGGTTCACGCAAATAAGCGTTCATCAGATGTTACAAATCTTAAAAGCATACCTCCCTCTTGACATCTTTGACCTCATTAAAGTTATTGATCATGTATTTATTTTTATGACGAAAATTAAAAATAAGTACATGATCAATAAACATGCGAATTGAACTTACGACACGTAGTCGTAAGTTCAGTTTGCTTGTTTAATAAAGACATTGGTGAAAAAATTATGTAATATTTCTTCATCAAGCATAAATTACACAATTTACCATCAGGTTTAAACGGTTTAGCCTGGTCTATATTTTTTTACGAAAGAACAGAATTTTTACCCTTTCTTTAAATATCGCATGCAAACTTAGAAAGTTTGGTGGAATTAGCTTTACTTTTACAAAAGAAGGTATTTTTATGTTTGTAAAAACGGTAGTTGAATGTTTTTTCTGTAAGTGAGTTTTTTCTGCAATATAATAAATACCTTTATTTTGTGGGTTTGTTTTAACATTGCACGTATAAATGACATTTTTACTTAAACACTTTCCATTAAGTGGACATAAATTAATCTGTCGCCAATCACACGGTGGAGGATTATGGTTAAAAGTATTTGAAAAAACTTTATTGTTATATGAAGTGCTCGTGATTTTTATAATTTTTATAGAGTTTTTGGGAACAGCAATAATGCTTTTTTAAAATCCACTAGACTAGATGAAATGACTAGACTGGGCAAATTGAAGCAAGTTGATTAAATACTTAATTGAGGAAACATTTCTTATGCGTGTAAATATAATTGCCGGTATAGATTTAAAAGTATTCGCGTGAATGGATGTTAACTCACCTCCTCCGGGCTATGAAGGCCACTACAGTCGAGGAGACTACTTTGGTTATTAGGCCGCATAATACTCCTTGTGCCAATTTCCTGACATAAAAAATATAAATGAATATAGACATCTAAAAACGCGGAAAACTATCAAGAGCAAATTTAAGATATGTCTGGATCAAACAAGAAAAGCGTTTTAGAGATAAATATTAAAGCTGAAAATAGATTCCATGAAACAGATTTCATGAAACAGATTTGCCTGTAGACAAAGTACTTTATAACGACGCGTACCTCTAAGATATCTTAACTATTATTTGTATATTTCTTAGTTTCTGTATTTTGCCGTTTAATAACATTTACAGTTTAAAAGTTTGTTACAGAGTTATTCATTTTTATATGCACGTATATTCATTTTTATATGCGTATTTATTCATTCTTATATGCGAGTTTATTCATTCTTATATGTGCGTTTATGAGCGAGTCAACTACCCATAAAATCTCTAATATAATTTAATATAGACAATAAATAGGCTTTTATATTTTTATATAGATATATTTAAAATATAAATTAGATTGTTGCGACTGCTATTTATTTAAAAAATGGTTGCCGAGCCAGCGCTGCATTTATGTAAATACCGCATATGGTTTTAAAATGGAATTAAATTAAACTCTGTAGTATCCATAATACTTTTAAGTTTCCTGATTACCCCATCCGTATTTCGATGTCTTTCTCCCTGTTTGTAAGTATGAAGAAAAAAATTCTTCTATTGGATTATGCTGTGTTGTGTATGCTGACAGATACTTAATAGCTATGCCATGAGAGGCTAGTGTTTGCCTAACAGAAAGACTCTATTCGAGTTTATAACTGCCCATAACCAGCACCGGCGCTTCCACATCTGCATTCCTTATCGATGGTGCGAACATTCTAGTAATGAAAGTACAAAACAAATCTGCATTTCAGCCTCCAGTTTTTTTTATGAGCCAGTACTCACATTATTGAAACAGCACAAATCAAACTAACATTCTTGCCACAATTTGCAGACGACTGCAAAATTGCTGGCGCACCTTTTAGCGAATAACCAAATGTGCTGTTAGTGTGCACAATAAATCCAGTTTCATCCAAATAAATAATTTTTTAATTTTTGAATAACCATTCATTAACTTTGCCTAATTGTTTGTTAGCTGTTTCAAAAATTGTTTTAATATCTCTGTGAAAATAAAAATGGTTAAAGTCATCTTTGTATGTAATCTGTTGTATTAAGTCACCATTGTATGTAATCTCAACATTCTCAACAGCGTCATTGATATCGTGCGCTAAAATAAATAGTTTTAAACTTCTTTAGTAAAAAAAAGAAATCCAAACCTAAAATGTGTTTTAGGTTTGGAATTTCTTAAAAAATGAAACAAAAGTTGTTAAAAAAAACTTTTTGATAATCCGATATAGCAAGTCAAATTATACATTTATTTTCAGTATAAAATCATCTAAACTAAAATTTTACAGCATTTAAATGTTATATGTTCCAAATTTATTCATTGCAAAGTTATAAATTTTAGTGATAAACAAACAAAATAATGTTGTTGCTCGTGCAGCAACCGGGCCGACAATGCAGGTTTCAAAGTGAAGAATCACAGTCGTCAATTTCTAATATAAAAATTCTTTACGTCTAGAAAATTTTCAAATAAATAAACAATAATAATAAAAAATAAAAGGCGGGCCAGTGCCCTTGCCCATCCCCCAGAAGTCGCCGAGTCTGAGGTTCAACGTTGCTATAAATTTTCTCTTGACGTTACAGAAATGAATATAGTAAGTTGGTTGAAAAACAAGGTAGCGTTATCTGATTGATTGATTCTTAAATTTATAGTAATACAACTTGCAGAATTAAAATGAGTTGAACAACATTTGTATAACCTTTTTCGAGCAACAGCGCGCTGTTGCTCGAAAAAGGTTATACAAATGTTGTTCAACTCATTTTAATTCTGCAAGTTGTATTACTATATTTATTTTACCGCTGCAGCGGTAAAATAATTTGAAATACACTAACATTACCTCGAACACGTCCGAAAAAAATGACAACAAAGATGGTGGATTATGACATAAAGTAAGCTTTTGCAAAATTTTATGTTTTATATTTTTTAATGCTAATTTGAATATATATATATATATATATATATATATATATATATATATATATATATATATATTATATATATATATATATATATATATATATATATATATATATATTATATATATATAATAAATATGAATTAAGGGTTACTGGTTATATATCTTTATATATATTATATATAAAGATATATAACCAGTAATCCTTAATTCATATTTATTATTTCATTAAATATGATTTAGGGATTTATGGTTATAGATACAGTTACCCCTTAATCATTGTTAAATAATGGTATTGCAATTAGCAGAAATATTTACTTAATGGCTAAAAAGAATAACATAGTGTTATCCTTTTATAATGTATATTTATTATTACATTAGAAAAAAAAAACTTGACGTTTCTGCTGATTAAGATTTTGTTATTTAAAATGATTTAAGAGTTACTGTCATTATAGCTGTAATATTAAAAAGATATCTTGATATATTGATATCTTGAATAACTCTTGAAAATTTAAATAGTAAAAGATGTCTTTTTACTATTTAAATTTTCAAGAGTTTATTTCTCACACAAATACATTGGATGAAACAAACGTTTAACTAAAACTTTTATTTGCAAACTACTAACAAAAGTAAAGTGAATTGTTAACACTCATCAGTGCTTGAAGTGTTAACACTCATCGTATATATATATATATATATACATATATATATATATATATATATATATATATATATATATATATATATATATATATATATATATATATATATATATATATATATATATTATATATATATATATATATATATATATATATATATATATATATATATATATATATATATATATGTATATATACAGTATATACACACTTGCATATGTTTATATGTTTGCTCTTAAAGTTTATATGACATGTATATATACACTTGCATATGTTTGTACTTAATGCTATACAAATGGAAATAAGAAGATCTAAGCAGGTCAAAGCATTAAACCAAAGTCATAAAAAAATTAATTCTTATGATTAATAATGAATAATATTAAATGCCAATCTAAAAGTCAAGTCAAAAAGATTTTGCGCATTGACGTCAGTTTGTGGTAAAATAAACCTTTATGCGTCAAGTTTCCTTTTGCGTTTATCTTACATTTTTTATTAGTTTTAATTATGTTGCATACAAATGCATAAAAATATATAAAACTGGTACAGATATATCATTTTCACAGATTTTATACAGATTTTCACAGAGATTATATCTATTACAATAGTAATAAATAAATAGTTTTTGTCTTTATTAGAATATATCCTATAAAAATATATTTCATTTATCTTTAATAGAAAGAGTTAAAAAAAAAAAAAGTTGAAATAAAATCTTATTTTTATGACTATAATTTTTAAAGGTCTAAGAAGCAGATGGTGTAATTTTAGCAATCAGAAATTATTGAGAGAGGGGCAAATCTAAAGTTGAAGTTTCAAATTTTCCACTTGGATGTGACAATATGTTTTGCATTTTTTAAATCTTGTCAATTTTTTAAGATATAATAACATAACTACAAAAAATCAAAACAAAACAGCTTAAAAATATTTTTTGTGATTATTAGAAAAGTTTATTTATATTACATACAATCTTGATTAAAACGTTATATAAATGGATTTTTTACATTTTATAAACAATATATATAACCAAATAATATATTTGTTTATATACATTGTTTATATAGAGATGGTTAAGCAAAACAAAGTTTAAACAAAAATTAGTTTATATTAAAGTTAAAAAATGATTTTTTTTTTTTCGCAAACACCAGCACACTATATTAAAAATTTTAAGTGCATTGTACTGCTTTTTAAAATTACTTTTAACTTTTTTGATTTAGTGGCTTTTATTTAGAGCTTTTAAATTTTGCGTCAAATTATCTCTATTCAACATATTTGTTGTATCATCCATACTGCAGCTGCTTTTTGAAACGCCTTAAAGTAAAAAATACCAATTTTGACTTTTTTACAAAATAAGCCAGTTTAGATATCTATAAACGTTATTGAATACCTATTTTCAAAGAGCTCTAAAAAATTTCTTGTTTCAAAAAATGTTTTACAAAGAGTTTCTCCTAATAATTTTTTTAAATTGGGTTTTTCTCAAAATACGTAGGTAATAAGGATATTAAGGCATTTTGAAAAATTGACTGCAGTTATAATGCGTTTTGAAAAAAATGGCTGCAAAATTATTTTAATAAAGAAATAAATTGGATTATGTAATTGTTTAAATAAAAAAATAAATGTAGCAAAAAAAGCTTTTAATTTTTCAGACCATCCTTAGCTTATTAGGACCAGTTACCTGAGCACATTAATAACATTAATAATTTCTCCCAGTGTTTTGATGTTTTTACAAATTTTAGCTTTTTAAAAAATGTTAAATTGTATAATATCGTTACATATGTTTGTATAAAATCTTTATAAAACTTCAAAAATATTTTGTTTTTTAAAATAATTGAAAAAAACAAAAAACAAAAAAGTTGTCATTGGTAGGACTTGTACCTCAACTTACTTGTTCAGAAGCTCGGGGTGCTATCCTCTTGGCCACGCTAGCACATTGTTAAACGAAAATTTTTAAAACTGTGTAATGATTTTTTTAAAGGAAATAAATGTTGTAGATTAAAATTAAGGAGAGCTTGACGCAATGCAATTTTTAAGTGAAAATCAAACTGTTAAACTTGATAAATGTTTCAGTATGTTTTAACATTACTTAACTTGAAGTTTATGTATGTTAAATATTTGCATACACGTTCATTCACGTTTTCTTATAAAGTAAAGTGCTGCGATTCTTTCTCGCCATTACTTCGCTTGCATTGGGTGTCAAGAGTTTTGTGTCAAACACGCTTGAAAGGGTACTACTGCTACTATTAAGTTCAGTTTTATTAGATAGATACATGTGTAAATATATGTATATGTATATATATGTATATATATATATATATATATATATATATATGCATATATATATATATATATATATATATATATATATATATATATATATATATATATATATATATGCATATATATATATATATATATATATATATATATATATATATATATATATATATATATATATTTGATGCTCAAAATCTATTTTGTTTCCCTTTACTTTTACTTTTGTATCTTGTAACAAAATATTTATAAAATTTAGACAATCAAATTTTGAAGTTAGTTATAAACTTATTAAAATATAAAAAGTGAATCCAGCTAAACAAATTTTCATATGATCAGTAAAAACAGCATTTATTGGATTATGCAATTATTTTAATAAAGATATGTTTGAAGGCTTTGTTTATTAATAATTTTAATAGAAAAAAATAAAATTAAATTTTATAACAGAAATTTTTTTTATATTTTAACTTTGTTGATTATATATAAAAAAAACATGGTATTTTTATGTTGATTTTTTAAAATTTTTTTATCTATTTAAAAAAAAATTAAATCTAATACATCTATTAGCGAAGTTGTTTCTGAAATATCATAATTAAGAAACATTGTTTAGTCAAATTGTAATGAATTTTTTTACTGTCAAATATTACAGAACAAATATCTAACATGCAACATAAATATCTTGTAAGCCTACTATTATGGAAAAAAAACCTAATAAACATGTGATATGATAAATACATTGTTAATTGAATCCATTATAAAATTCTAATTATTTTGAATTGTCACCCTTCCTATATTTTCTATAATAGGTTTTCTTTTTATAGATGAGCAAATGTAGTATTCTTTTGTCTCATTGTTTCAAAAATGTTACTTAAAGATGTCAAGAAAAGGTTTGGAATTTATTAATATTTTAAAATTCATAGGTTGTGTATTGCTTTGAATTAGTTTTATAGCTTTAAATTTGTTCTTTTAAAACTCTGTTAAGCTGAAATAGATATTCATTATTATTAAATTGACATGTTGTTGGTTAATAGTATAAATTCTTATATTTTTTTACTATTTATTTTCTCACAAAAATTTATTTGTTTTATATTAAGGTCGTATTGATCGAAATGACATTGATTCAGTTTTGGATGATTTACTTGACAGTGATGTTGAAGGTATTCACTTTAAATGCAATTTTATGAATTTTATCATTATAATATAAATTTAATGTAAAAAATAGTGTAGCCTTGGCACTTACTTACCCCTATCGAATTTTAGGACAGTAGGGGGGTGGGGAGACAAATCTCCTGTTTAAGAAAAAATGACTTCAATCAAAAAATATATAGTTAATTATTTTATAATTCTTACATAAGTAAACTATAATTCTTAACAAGAATTACAACAATTACAACATTATCACAAGTTACTTCCCCTAAATATGGGGAGGAAGGCCCCCCTTTTACAATTAGGAAGAAGAAGGCCCCCCTTTTACATCTTATCCAAAGCAATGACAAATAAATTTAAAAAGTAAATTGTTTAACATTTTGTGAATAAAAATTATAATATCACAAATTAAAATAACAATTCAATAAAATATCAAACTTTTGGTTCTTCCTACCAAACAGCCGGGCGATATGATATTTTGCTGAAGTGTTAACACTAATTTGGTTGAAGGTACATCAACTCATAACATTAGCTTGTAACTAAACTTGTTAAAAGTGTTTTAAGTAAGTTTAGTTGTTTAGTTTTTTAGCCTTTTTGCTGACTTTAGTTTTCCTAATTCCAAGGAATATATATATATATATATATATATATATATATATATATATATATATATATATATATATATATATATATATATATATATATATATATATATATATATATATATATATATATATATATATATATATATATATATATATATATATATATATATATATATATATATACATACTATATATTTCGACCCGTAAAATTTCAGGATTGGTAGGTCTTTCGTAACATAATAAAATAATAAAATAATAATGCAATAAATATTTCAACAGCTTTTAGATATAGAGCATAAGACAAAAGCAGAACAATTTGAACTCTTTTTTAACTAATTTAAACTTTAAATACTCAAACTAATCATCAACGTACCTTTAATCTTACATTATTTTTTAGGCGTTGAATTTTTATAAATAGCTTTTCATAAGCCTGTGCAATTAGATTATGATTTAAAAGGTAAATATCTGACAGATGTTTAACTATTAGAATCATTTCTAAAAGTACAGAGTTTGCAGTTTATCTTGTGATTACTATAAAAATAACTATTCGTTTTATAAATCATTGCAATTTTTATTTACAGAATGATCTTTACAGAAATAGTCATTAACTTAATTATTATTTTAGGAAAATCTAAATTTTAAAGGAGTAAAAACATCACAAAAAATCAATTTACCACTTGCATGTGTACTTGGCTGTTTCCTGCTGCTTTATCTGTTGTTGCAACTGACTGGACTGTATATAAAATATTAAATGAAATTAAACACGCAAAAATTAACAATAAAAAATATATTTGCCCAGCTCTTAGAAAATATGTAATATAGCTATATATATTATTATTTAAAAACTTTGGCATATAAAATTCGCCGAATGGTCACACACAAGCAGTGAACGCCTGAGGGAAGAAATGAAGTACATTAGAATAAAGGAGAATTATTTATTAGACAAAGCATATTTTGACAGTTGTCAAGACAAAAATAAAGATTAATAGAGGAATATTTAAAAATAAATAAGACAAGCTATACAACCAAAACAGTACTCAACCATAATAACAATAAAAAAAAAAAAAAAAAAAAAATTAAAAACAAATAATAACAAATAATAATTAAATATATATATATATATATATATATATATATATATATATAAAAAATTAAAAATAAAAAAAAATTGTTTTATAATTACCAATATGAACTAAAATATACAAGAAATACATAACCAGTCAAAAATTTGTAAAACAAAAAACTATTCAACAAATTAAAAATATGCTAACGACAATGAAAGGATTAATAATGGAAAAAAAAAAAAAAAAAACATTAATGCTAAGTGTAAACATAATTAGTGTAGTAATAAGTAATAAACATCTCCTCAGAGTCGCGTCTATTATTACTGGCGTTTCGATGAGGATCAGCATTTATAACTAGTTTCATCGCCACTTATGCTTTACCCCGCGGCTTATGTCTATTCCATACTGCAGTAAAAAAGGACTCACTACAAATAGCCAAAACCCAACCAACCCCAAATTTGTAAAGCACCAATATTTTTCTTGATGGTATGATATAAAAAGTAAATATTTACTGAACAAACAAAAATAAAAATAACTAAATAAAACACTTACCGTACCACCAAAAGAAAACATGAAAACAAAATAAATTAAAATTCTAATAGAAACATAAAAATGTTAATCAATTTATTTTAAGAAATAAAACCAAATAGGTATTATTAGCATAAACAAGCCCAAGATAATCAGAAAACAGTATACCTCATTAAAAAATTTTTTTAATAAACAAAACAATACCCTTAAATAAACTCTAACGCTGTCATAGATACCTCATTTGAAATATGATAACCAATCAAAAGTGTAGGAAAATGAGTAACCCGCGAAACCCAAAATCATAACAATAATAGAATAATATATGATAGCGAAAAAGAACGTTGCACAAAAACCTTAAAAATGTAAGCGACATATGTGTAAACATTAAATGAAGGATATAAGAATTTTCTCTGAATAATAATAAAGATAAAAATTGTGAAAATTAAAACAAAGTTGAGTAATGAAAGCAAGATGAAACATGACATGACAATAATTCATAACATGAAAGTTTCTGTAAACAGTAATAATATGAAAATCAGGAGATAAGTAAAATATTAATAAATATAGCAATAAGACTAAATAAATATTGTAATAAAACCAGATAATTTTAAGCCAAATGAGTGGTTAAAAAATTAGTTGTGGGTATTATAACAATGATATAAATCGTGATATAAAAACGATGTAGAAAGCTTTTAGAAAATAAGTAATATAGCTATATATATTATTGTTCAAACCATGTTAACTTTTCTACTAAAGAGAAAATAAATGATACAGTAAAATAATCTATCATATCAGAGGTAAGTAAATTTATTTTCTATTTAGTGGTTATCATATAGGAGTATGAATAATACTTAAATTTTTAAAAATATTTTTCAGTTTACGCTAAAAGCCTTCACTTAAACTGAAGATCCATTATATAAATATTTGAACCTCATAATTTTTGATTGGCACTGACTGCACTAAAAGTATAAATATTATAACATTGCTATTCGATCAATATAACATCTATCATATACAAATAGATGTTAGGTCTTAATATAAAAAACAATAATAATTTTATTTAGTTATTTAAAAAGTGGTTACCACTTAAAATACTTAATTTTTCTCTAAAACTTTTAGACAAAATTTATGCATTTTAAGTGGTAACTATTTTTCATAATTTTTCTACTTTTAGTAATAGTAGAAAAATTAGAAAGATAAGAGTTAACTATAGACGCTATAGACGTTCTATAGCGTTGTTAAAAACCAAACAGAAAAACAATTTAAGAAATAGTTTTAAAAAATGCTGAAACTGCTACTTTTTTGAAACTACTGCTACTTTTTTAAAACTGCTATTTTAGTAGCAATAACCAAAAAAAAAGATTTATCAAAATACATTGTTACGTACTTAAAACTACTACCAATCCCTTATACATATTATCGAAGAACTCACAAAACTTTTTAGCTGCTTCATTAGCCACAATATAATACTAAAAACAAATTTCTTTTATCTTTCTAAACCATTTATTACATAATTTAAGATTCATAGAAAATCTAATTTTTAATCATAATTGAAAGATTCAATATGTCCAACACATTCTGTGCGAAACTAATTTAATTAAGTTAGTTCGGTACGGAAATAGATTGATTTAGCTTTCAAACGCAAATTAAGTATTCAGAACACGTTTAGAATAGATTCCTAAACGTTTAGATTGACATAAATGCCATCTAAACGTGATCTAAACCAATTTTAAACCAACAAATGTATTTAGATTAAGGTAGTTTGAGATGTTTATGATCAAATCACCTAAGAGATAATAATAATTATGTTATCTATATAATTTTTTATTTGTTTATTTAAAACAGTTTAGATTTTTTCTAAAGTTTTTCTTAAGTTTTATATTTCAAGTAATGTAGTTATTGATTTAAAGGAAATTGCTCATATTATTTCTGCTTGATGATGCAGTACATATTGAGGTGATTCTTAGGGAATCACTCAGTGCTAACATTTTATAATATTGTTATATGTTTAATTTAGACAAGAAGTTACAAGATAAGAAGTCAAAGTTACCTCAAAAAAAGGTTTAAATTTTTATTAATTCAATCATAAGGGGAGATTCAAAATAAATTATTACCATACATAGAAAGAATATTTTTCTACTTTCTTTTTTTACTTATATAATTAATTGAATTTAAAATATTTTTAAAATAAATCTAGGCTATTCTTCTCTGACCAATCAAATAATGAATCAGTATGTTTGTATTTTTGATATAAGTTAATTAGCGAATATTTCTATCAATAATGTGTACAATACATAATTAACTAATCAAAAAAGAATCAAACATGAATAATAAACATGAATATTAAACTTTAATTTTGTAAATGTAACATCTAAATAAATAATCTGTTTTGCTTGTGTAGATAATAGTGTTTCAACTTGTCTTGATTGTATCAACTAGTCTTAAT